GTCATATGAGGAATAACTTTGAGGGCCGATGCAGAATTATCTACATTTTAGGGGTTAAATTATCTTGTTTACAGGTTTGTATAAACCTGAAACCGTGACAATTGTTGTGGAAAATGAAAGCTATATGTTCTCACAATCTACTGTCATTTAATTTTGTCTCCTGCTTTGCCTAGTTTCCAAGTTACAACTTGTTTTCATAGACGATTCTGTCAAAATCGATTGGTGTCGTTAGGCCCTATTTGTATAATGACTGATCCAAATTGATCTCATTTCTGTGTTTTTTTACCTCGATATTTAATCATGTCATGTAAAAATATGTTTGTATTCTCAAAACAGTGTCGGCCCATAAGTTTTAACATGCAATATAGCAATTAATACTCCCTTGTTGTAATCCGTGTTAGGTGGTATAAACCTACACGTTATTTGTCATCATTCACTTGATGGTCAGTTAATGAATTTATAACAGGTATAATTAGTGGTAACACACTTAGATTACCCGACAAAGGTTCCCATTTGGCATTTCTTGTGTCTGGAGTAAATATTCAACATTATAAACATCGATCAAAGGATTAACCGATAACACGCTGATTGATTAATTACTTTTATCTTACACAGCGGAATTGTCAAAAGGTAGTGTTTATGTATGTAGATTTACTAATCTATACTGAATACACTCTGTCGTGGTCGGTGTCTGCGTAAAACAACGTCCTTCTTTCAAAGGATTAACCGGCAATACATTGATTGATTGCCCATTATTGGCTAACTAAATTACTGTTTTTAAAGTAAGGCGGACATTATGCAATTAGTTGCCAGGTGTGCTATCTTGGGTGATCAATGAGACTATACACCAATGCCTGAAAAGATTTATAACTTTTTCGTATATTAAACTGTTAAAAGACACATCATTTGGAACAGTTTTGTGGATATTGATGGATACATTCCTCAAACAAGGTAATGGCCTGATATTGTTCCTATAACTTTAATCTGTTTTAATTTTAATATTTGCATTTTGTTTTTATTCATTTGTCGTAACATTCAACAGAATCATTGTTTTTGACGTGAAGTATAATGAGACAGACAACATGCACTAGGGTGTGTGTGCGAATTATGATTCACATTGGCAAACTATAAAATGTCTAGATATTACAGTTCTGTTATAAATTCACTATAAGTATCAGCAGATCGTCTGCTTTTTATTTAGTGTCAAAATGCATACGAGTATGATAATAAACTAATTAGGATTATAAGACCAAATATAAAGACGCACATTGACTAGTATCTACATACTGGTGAGTGGACATTAACCATGGGAATGTAGCAAGAAATTTATCGCGCAGTATTGTGACTTCGACCCCCACCTCGCTTCCGTGGAAGAAATCGTTATGTTATAAGTTGTGTCATGCAAAATCCGTTTGGTTATGATTCCAATACATATTTAACTACGAGTAGAAAGTAGTTTTGATTTTGTAACTTGATGAAAACAAACTATAATCTCATTAATTCTAACAGATTTTTGATTATTAAAATGGCGGGCCCTGTCGGGAACATCTGCCAGTCTGAGGATAAATGGTATTTAGGTTTGTTTCACCGAGTTACAAAATCAAACTACTTTCTACTGGTAGTAAAATATGTATTTTATTGATGGCCAATAGGATTTTGCATGACATAGCGTATAACAAAACAATTTCTCTCCTGGCAGCTTAGGTGGGTGTCAATATAATACTACTTACAATATTATTGTTACTTGACCACAACCTCACTTCGAGGAAGAAATCGCTATGTCACAAGTTGTGTCATGGAAAATCTTTATGGTCATCAATCATATACATATTTTACTACAACTAGTAAGTAGTTTTGATTCTTTAACTTCCGTGAAGCGATCTGAACACAAGTAAGATATCGTTTCAGGCTTCCACAATGCTCGCTTAGCACTCACAAACATAACCCATTTAGCACGAACTGCGGGGTCCTGTGGAAATCTGTGCATGGTGACACCATCACCCGACCCCTAGGAGCAATTGACGACAAAGCAACGATTCGGCATGTCGTCGTTGATGTCGAGAAATCATCAAAATGATGAGCGTGCTACACACTTTCTATACAACTAACTGAAAATCGTTCCTCATATGACGTCACTGCAGTGCTCTGGCGACAGAGTCACGTAACCTGTCTGTGGTTTTAAGAAGCGATTTTATTAGATAAATATTGGTTTCTAATGACGCCTTTTCGCCACAGTCTGCTATAAGGATCATGACTGGTCAAAATCATGCACCTAATGCAGCCAATCATATTACAGCAATGGTATCCATTCCTCGTAAACGAAAACTTAAGATTTAGACAAAAGTTTGGGGTAAAATCATGCTATTCTGAACGTTTTAAGCAAACAATCACCACCTATGCATATATTATGGAACTTAGAGGATGTATCGTGCTAGGTTATGGCTTGTGACAATAATGCTTCATGCAAATATTTTAGCATTAAGCGTGAAGTCCGATGCGCTGAAAGCTGAGATGTCACTGTCTGTACTTACATGATCGCACAAAAAGAGATGGAAATAGTAATTTTTAGTACATTTTGACAACTTTTATGAGTACAGTTGTTGATTTTATTCATTAGTTTATTCAATTTGTTTAATTATTTCCGCAAAAGTCATCGTTTTAATTCTTTGCTCATTGACAACTTTGATGTGGACCTGTTGCCGAAGCATTTCTCCAAGAATCCTTTTTATTTAAAAAAAAAAACATTGCGAAAAATAGTTTATAATTCTAATTCTGTCGATAATATATGGTCATTTGAAATGTAGCACAGGGCCCCGTTCCTCAGAGCGATTGTAGCGCTACAACAGTCGTAAGTCTATGTTAAAGGATGGGAGTTACGATCATCTTAGCGCTACGATCGTGTTGAGGAACGAGGCCCAGAGCCGTAACCTAAATTCGTGGATAACCTTGATTCGTGGATCGCGGAAATTATCACGCCAGCTCGAAAATTAAGTCTCGACTGACGTCACGAAGCAGTACTTTTGTTGTACATACAATGCCACGCCTCACTGACAAAAACGTTCCGAATCTCTGCATTACACACAGGTACACTAAATGTAATTGTCGAGCATTGAGATAAATAGCCCCATTTTATTTTTACAAAATGTCAAGTAAAAAAGATACAGTTAGCTCCAACCTTCTCACTTCTCAGTGTCTGCTTTCCTTGGTGTCAATACTTACTGCAGTGGGATGTCATACATAGTGGTATATAGTAAGAAAGTAAGATTGTGTGTGGATAACAACTTCTTTTATTACATATGATGCGATGTTTCGGTATGGATTCTTATACCGTTGTCAAGCAAGAGTGCTATAGAGTATATAGTAACCGACTACGTAATCCACGAAACAAGGTGACATCACATTTTGTGGGCACACGAATGGGAACGGTAATGATTGCAAATGACTTCTGTAAACAAACGTTTCATTCACAAGTGGAATATTCGGCATTTTCAATTCGCTGAATCAAGAATAAAACAATCAGTGCGTATACAAACTGAAATCATGCATTTAAACTGTGAACTTTGACGCACTTCCCTTATATCCACGAATCAATGTTACGCGAGTGTAAGTGTTTTTAGTCATTGTGAAAAGTGACAGATTTAATAAATGAATCATTAGTTGCAATTTTGAGGCCAGGTTGATTGTTACACCTTAATGACAATTGTTACGCTGCTGAGTGATGTTGGGGGATTGGTTTCTTCAGCTGCCCCCCAGGCTGCTAGAGTACCTGCCACTTTAATTAGACATTGCAAAAAATATCTGAGAAATTGGGGATATGTGTTTCAGTTGAAATATTGTTTATATATGGATCTGTACATATATTTTTCTTTATGTTATTAATGGATGTTTTATCCAATGTAAATATATGAACAACCAATTGTCACCATTCTCCTGTCTCGCTTTCATTGAACACTCTCCATAGGTAGGGTCATCTTACATACTGAAGTAATGAATTCATTACTATCACAAGTACTTTGGTGAGTAAAACGATATGGCTTTCAGTTTAACTACAGTGTAAGTAAACATTATGATGTGGCATTGTGTGTGAGAAATATGCTACCTGTCCACTTATATAAAGATGCCGGGGACAGGTGAGAATTTCCTGTTTATTGTTCATGTACAGCCTCAGTAGTGGCCATATTGGCCTGGCTGTGATATCATTAAGTGTTGTCAACAGGCTGAAGTATCTCACATCATCAGACCCAATATTCCTACATGGCCCCTTAAGTGGTGTGATAAACTCAGTAAATACACCCAGGCAGGTCACTGCAGTGCATATCTATAATCTTTGCCACATTTCATACTGTGCATGTGTTCTACAGGTTGGGTTTGCATCAGTTGAGCTTATTTGCTTATTTATTTCTAGACTCTGATCACAGATATCATGTTGTATTTTGATTACATCCATAGTGAGACTTTACCCAGCTCCACCCCCAAACTGCCCCCAGACTCCCCCTACCCCCATCCCCCCACCAGCTGTCCCTCACCATTTCACATTTTCTCCTCCTTGTTTGGTCCAACAAGCAAAACTAGGTCACCTTATACATTGCTTGTCACAAAAACTTCCCCACATAAGGTACAATTAACACAGTGAAGTTTTGTCAGTTTTATACGCTGCAGCTGAAATAATGGCATAAGAAAAGGTAGAATTTGTTGTGATTGTCCCCAGGTGTTCTGTCAGTAGTCAGGAACCTGGTGACCCTGTCTGTGTTCCGAGTGGGGCCTTATAGTGAGGGGCTTGTGTGTTTATGGTTTTCTATATGCATACCTTGTCGTCATAAGGGGCACGCAATACTGTCCCATACACGCTCTCCACAGGTAGCTTTACTCAAGTCTCACAATATGTACTCCTGTCAACTCCAAACTTTTAGTCCAGTGTTTTATGCCTTCTAGCTTGTTTACCTATGAAGCAGGTTTGCTTTTATGTTTAATTAATGTTTTATTCTGTTGTCTCTTTGCAGCTCTGACCAGCTGAAACAAGTAGCCGATCGTCGACTGAGAAATGTAAGTGTGTTTATTATTGTACTTGTGTAGTTCATCCTCATGTCGGATAACTGGAATATTGTTTTGACAATGTGCACAGACTGTCCGTTTCAGGTAGTGACATTTGTTGAGGTTAGCAGCGTTATTGATTTTGACAGTGGAATGTTTGGTATGTAGGCAGCCTGGTTCTTGAGTCATGAGCGTACACCTGGCTGGGGACTGTTGTCTGTATGTCAGCAATTGAGTAGGGTGGGGATGGACTTTATGTTGTGTCTGTATGTCAGCAACTGAGTAGGGTGGGGATGGACTTCGTGTTGTGTCTGTATGTCAGTATGGCTATTGAGTAGGGTGGGGATGGACTTTGTGTTGTGTCTGTATGTCAAGTATGGCTATCGAGTAGGGTGGGGATGGACTTTGTGTTGTGTCTGTATGTCAATATGGCTATCGAGTAGGATGGGGATGGACTTTGTGTTGTGTCTGTATGTCAGTACTGAGTATCGAGTAGGGGGATGGACTTAATGTGGTGTCTGTATGTCAGCACATGGCTATCGAGTAGGGTGGGGATGGACTGTGTTGTGTCTGTATGTATGTATGTCTATCAGCAACTGAGTAGGGTGGGGTGGACTTTGTGTTGTGTCTGTATGTGGAGTTGGATTTGTCTGTATGTCATCGAGTAGGGTGGGGATGGACTTAATGTGGTGTCCTGTATGTCAGTATGACTATCGAGTAGGGTGGGGATGGACTTTGTGTTGTGTCTGTATGTATGGCTATCTGGAGTAGGGTGGGGGTGGACTTTGTGTTGTGTGTGTCAGTATGGCTATCAAGTAGGGTGGGGATGGACTTTGTGTTGTGTCTGTATGTCAGTATGGCTTATCGAGTAGGGTGGGGATGGACTTTATGTTGTGTCTGTATGTCAGTATGGCTATCGAGTAGGGTGGGGATGGACTTTGTGTTGTGTCTGTATGTCAGTATGGCTATCGAGAAGGGTGGGGATGGACTTTGTGTTGTGTCTGTATGTCAGTATGGCTATCGAGTAGGGTGGGGATGGACTTTGTGTTGTGTCTGTATGTCAGTACGGCTATCGAGTAGGGTGGGGGTGGACTTTGTGTTGTGTCTGTATGTCAGTGCGGCAACTTAGTTGGATGAGGGGTGGTATTGATTGTGTTGATCACAGTCAGGTTTACAGACTGCCGACATACATTCCTGAATGTTTAAACTCCACATTGAGATAATGTTTTGACAACATACTTTCCTGAATGTTTAAACTTCACATTGAGATAATGTTTTGACAACATACTTTCCTGAATGTTTAAACTTCACATTGAGATAATGTTTTGACAACATACTTTCCTGAATGTTTAAACTTCACATTGAGATAATGTTTTGACGACATACTTTCCTGAATGTTTAAACTCCACATTGAGATAATGTTTTGACGACATACCTTCCTGAATGTTTAAACTTCACATTGAGATAATGTTTGGACAACATACTTTCCTGAATGTTTAAACTCCACATTGAGATAATGTTTTGACAACATACTTTCCTGAATGTTTAAACTTCACATTGAGATAATGTTTGGACAACATACTTTCCTGAATGTTTAAACTTTATATTGAGATAATGTTTTGACAACATACTTTCCTGAATGTTTAAACTTCACATTGAGATAATGTTTTGACAACATACTTTCCTGAATGTTTAAACTTCACATTGTGATAATGTTTTGACGACATACTTTCCTGAATGTTTAAACTTCACATTGAGATAATGTTTTGACAACATACTTTCCTGAATGTTTAAACTTCACATTGAGATAATGTTTTGACGACATACTTTCCTGAATGTTTAAACTTCACATTGAGATAATGTTTTGACGACATACTTTCCTGAATGTTTAAACTTCACATTGAGATATATGTTTTGACAACATACTTTCCTGAATGTTTAAACTTCGCAGTCTCTCAACATTATGCTTTGATCACTGAATGCAGGTGGTGTTCATGTTTCTCACCTGGCACATTTCTACATTCATCCCTGGGGTCGTTGGGTGGCCATAACTGTCCAGGTTCTTGTAACTGAGCCTGTCTGCCTGGAGGAATAACAGGTGCTTGTGGCCGCATGTAATATATGCTGGACTGATCAGATCTCAATACATACAATGATTAGGAGGGGCAAGCTAACTGCTATATATTTAGATGTTTTCTATGACACAGGGAAGCTTTATGAATTCTACAAACATCTCTAAATATCAAATGTAAAAAGTGAAAGTGGCTGCACTCAGCAATATTCCAGTTATTGCCGGTGGTATATGAAGTATGTAGGGTAGTACTATAGATAACATTGATGTCATGTTTGAATATTGGTAGGTATGACATAGATAACATTGATGTCATGTTTGAATATTGGTAGGTATGACACAGATGACATTGGTGTCATGTTTGAATATTGGTAGGCATGACATAGATAACATTGATGTCATGTTTGAATATTGGTACGTATGACATAGATAACATTGATGTCATGTTTGAATATTGGTAGGTATGACATAGATAACATTGATGTCATGTTTGAATATTGGTAGGTATGACATAGATAACATTGATGTCATGTTTCATGTAGGTATGCCATAGATAACATTGATGTTGGTAGGTATGACATAGATAACATTGATGTCATGTTTGAATATTTAGGTATGACATAGATAACATTGATGTCATGACAGGTATGACATAGATAACATTGATGTCATGTTTGAATATGTATGACATAGATGACATTGATGTCATGTTTGAATATTGGTAGGTATGACAACAAAAATATATGAATAAGAAGAAGTTGTCAATACTTCACCATTTTTTGTCAGAACATTTACAGAAGTCCACATCTAAACCAGGCTTCTCCAGCATTTTATGAAAGCTATGAAATGGCAGGTTTAATGAAGGCTTCACACTGTGTTAAATATGGCATGGTTATAAGGTAAAGATGATAAGAATACTTAAAAATCTATAATTGGTGTTGTAGAAATTGCATAAGCTAATAATAGATTGTCTTTACAATGAATTGTGATGTTGTGATGCATTAGTGCCTGGGAACTTGGCATTAATGTTGACAAAGACGTCTTCATGTGTACAAACTGTTCCAATTCGTAGTACAAGTGTTGGTGTATATTACCAGTGCCCCAGTAGGTCATCCTTGCAGTATGTTGCAGTGGAGGTAGCGCTAACCCAGATAGGGCTCTGTGTCTAAACATCCAGCAGAAACAAAAGGGTAGAGAAAAGCTATCGAACAACCTTACACGGTTGTGCTGCAGTTAAATGACATGACTTTGAGTAATGGCGTGTCCACACCTTAATTGAAACAGTGTGGGAGGCACAGTGTTGGTCGTCATTACACAAAGTGGTGTGATTGTGTCATCATTGGTGGAAGTACGAGGAACCCATCAGACTAGAGATTGCCCTGTTACAAGGTACTGCCTCTGCTCCTATTCTCGTTTATCTTAAGGTGAGACAATTCTTCAAAAACCATTCAATCGGATGGAGTTTTTCACTCGCATGATAGAAATGCTATCAAAGTAGTTGTATACTTAATGTTAATGGGAAAATGAACATTTCTCATGAATATCCTTTAAAGACAGAGTAAAAGAAATGGTTTTGATTGGTGTGTGTTGGATTGATTTCACAAGCTTGCTATTTTTTTAATACTGCAATTAATATCAAAATACTAATTGCATTACAGTGAAAAATGTAAACATTTGAAACATGGAGAGTCAAGCAACCTCCCACTTCACCAATATCTGAACCAGTGGGTATAAAAACATTTGAAACATGGAGAGTCACCCAACCTCCCACTCCACCAATATCTGAACCAGCGGGTACAAAAATATATGAAACATGGAGAGTCACCCAACCTCCCACTCCACCAATATCTGAACCAGCGGGTACAAAAATATATGAAACATGGAGAGTCACCCAACCTCCCACTCCACCAATATCTGAACCAGCGGGTACAAAAATATATGAAACATGGAGAGTCACCCAACCTCCCACTCCACCAATATCTGAACCAGCGGGTACAAAAATATATGAAACATGGAGAGTCACCCAACCTCCCACTCCACCAATATCTGAACCAGCGGGTACAAAAATATATGAAACATGGAGAGTCACCCAACCTCCCACTTCACCAATATCTGAACCAGCCATTTTAAAGCACATGAAACATAGAGACAAGTGTTTGAACCACCACTGCATACCGATGACATTGACTGTTGCAGGAAATACTCCCTGCTTCGCCAGGTCCAGGCTGCCTGTTTCAGATTCTCCACTTACACTGCCATGATATGGTTGATGCCGGTATACATGCTGTTCACCCACTCGTTCCATATTGAATAACAATCTTTAGATTTGTTTACTCCCTAAAGGACTGTCTGTCACTGATATCTGTGGAGGGATGGGGAGAGGTATGGGATTTTGTATGGTGATTAGATATTTTTTAGTTGGAGCTTTTCACCAGTCTGAATCATAAATATATTTTTTAGCATTTTTGGTGACTATTCTTTTTCCTTAAAACCCCAGATCCTGACCATCTTCCCCAGAATATCAAACAGAAGAATATTTCAATAAAAGTTCACTGGAAATGTCATCTTGGAAGCCTTTTGCTCTGTGCACAAAGCTGATATGTTATGACCAATCTGTAATGTCTTGGGTGTTTATACAGAAGATGGAAAAGGGTATCTCAGTTCATCTGTTTCCCAATCATAGAAGATGTCTTCTCTTTCATGACTGGGGCAAATAGATAGTCAAGAAGGAACACTTTACAGACAGTAATTTGCATTTAATTACTGTGATTTTGTGTTTTATTTCTGATAAATCAGGCATATTTTAAATGACAGTAATGTGAAAATATGTTACATTTCTTGTAGAGTATTGACATGGTGTGTTAGTTATGATATATCAATTCTCTGGAAGTGTATGTTCCAGTACTCACTGACTTATGGTTGTTCATTCTTGAGCTCTTCA